GAGCCCTTGCGCACCCGGTCCTGGCTGCGCAGGCGCAGCTTCTGGTTGAAGGAGGTGGCTCGCTTGTAGGCGCGCCGCCGCTCCAAGTACTCGGGCGCCGAGTGCTGGCGCTTGTTGCTGTTGCGGCGCACGTGCTCTCCTGTGGGGAGGGCACAGTTATTTTGCTGCCGTCTGTGCCCGGTTGAGAATGCTTGTTCGTGAAGTGAAACAATCGCTCTGTGCGGGGCGTGCAGCGACCTGGTTTAAAGGCTCAACGCCGCATTGTAAAACATGCTGGACGGGGAGCAAATGTAGCAGAATATAAACAAAAAATGAAAAGAACTCCATCATCCACATGTCAGGCGTGTAATAATGGACAAAAGACACCAACATTACCAACGCATGTGCAGACCTTCGACTATACCAACGAGCATTTTCACAGTAGCATACACCAGTCGCCAGTGTATCAGCCGTCAGCACGCAATGGGATGGGATCTTGCCGAAGCACTCACCGGCCGCTCTGTCCTGTCCCAACTGCATGACCAGCTCTCGGGCGTGGAAAGGGATCACGGCATTGAAGCTCTCCAGGATGGCCCGCTTCAGCTGCAGAGCCCAGTCACGCTTCTGCTCCAGACTGCGGGCCTGCACGATAGGTGGTGTTAGCATCGGCACACCGTGAGCATAGATGGCGCCCGCCAAAACATCGGGCCCAAAGGCTCGCTACAACAAACCGTATAGGTCAAATGTGTCATGCAGGTGCACAGTTCGTGTAAAGCAGCTGCAGCGATCGACTGAAGTGACATAATGGTCTCGTGTACTTCGCAGCCAGGTCATTTCGACCAGCGTTGGACAGCTGAGGCGTGCCCGGCGGCAGGACGCGAACGGCCGGCTCGTTTGGAGGCCCGACACTACCTGGAGCGTGTACTGCAGCCGCGGATTGTCGAAGGGCACCACGTGGAAGCTGTACGGGTCGCCGGGAATGCTCTCGATCAGCATCAGGTTGGAGCACTGGGGACGGAAAAGGCAGGTGACAACAGTGACCAGCCAGCCACCAAAACCTTTGATAAATAACGGGACGAGGTGTCGCAGACTTCAGTAGGCAGAGTGACGGAAACTCTGTCGACGTAAAATGATGTGGCTATTCTAGAGTATGCATTATAGAGTATGACATGAGGATGAGAACAAAGCATGACATGCACTTGCGGGCCACTGATACCAATCCACAGAGAGGAAATGCTGCGGAGTGAGCCGTCCACTGCACCAGTTAATCTGCCTGCACAGCCCCGCGCGCTTCAACATAGTCACTCACCATGATGTGGGCCTTGTAAGCGAGCGTGGCGTCCTCCCTGCGCTTGGTGATGAGTACCATGCTGTCGAAGAGGAAGACGTGGCGGGAGGCCTTGGCGCGGTGCATCCTGAAGGCGCCCTCGGCCACCAGCTCGCCGTAGGTCGTCAGGTCTTGGCCCTGATGACAGCGCGGTGGTCACAACAGGCCGGCCCGTCGCCACTGAACGGTTAAGCCGTCACCACCCGGCCCACAGCATGGTCACGGCGCCGAGCCCGCCACCATAACGCGCCGTCGAGGGGCCGCAGTGCGTCTGAACACATGGACTGAACTCCCGACGACACGTGGCCGACCGCAAAACTGGTCACACATGAGGGCCGGCTGAGCACACAGAGGCAGACTGACACGCAGCTGAAACCAGGAGCAATCCCGGGGCCGGCTGAGCACACAGAGGCGGACTGACACGCAGCTGAAACCAGGAGCAATCCCGGGGCCGGCTGAGCACACAGAGGCGGACCGGCACGCAGCTGAGACCAGGGGCAATCCCAGGGCGGGCTGAGCACACAGAGGCAGACCGGCACGCAGCTGAGACCAGAGGCAATCCCAGGGCGGGCTGAGCACACAGAGGCAGACCGGCACGCAGCTGGGACCAGGGGCAATCCCAGTGTAGGCTGAGCACACAGAGGCAGACCGACACGCAGCTGAGGCCAGGGGCAATCCCATCTTTGTCGATACTCCTCCCCTCTCCTCTCTCCCCCTCGTACGACGGGCGGCGGGCGGGCGGGGTTCAGGGGGCCGGGGGCCGGAGGCCGGCGGCGGCCCGGGCCGCCCGCCCCGCGGGCGGCAGCTGTCGCCGTTTTTTAACGACGGGAGGTTGTCGACCCGTTGGAGGGCGCGCAGCCGTGTCGACGCGTCGGCCGCTCGCCGACAAGTGTGTGACGGGAGTCACTGCCCGGGTCAAACGCGGTCGGACTGTCCGCAGGCGGCGGGGCTACGCTGGCAGCGTTTGTCACGGCACGGACACTCAGGTGTGCCCACTCAACTGTCATGTGCGTACTTTCTGTGCACTGCATGAGCTTGATCAATATTATGGGAGAGAGCAAGGACCACATCAGGCACCGGGTTCGTCACCACACCTATCTCCCAGCCGTATAGCAGGCTCGCCACTAGACTCACCTCCCAGCCGTACAGCAGGCTCTGGATCTCCTGGACGCGAACAGCATGCTCGTGCCGGCGCTTCATGTCGTTGATGTGGGCGGCTAGAGCGGTCATGGTTTGAAGGGCTGCGCAGACGGCCGTGTAGCCCTCCGTCTGGCTGTCCGTGTGTGACTTCATGTTCTGTCGGGCGGGAGTGACGCCCGTCAGCGAAGAGACGAGGGCTTCGGGACGTGTGGCCTGTGTGTGTCACACAGCCAGCGCGCCAACGAAGCGTCCGGGTCAGCATGAGCCCCAGGACCGGGACAGTGCAGAAACAGTTATGTGAGGATGTTCGTGTCCACGTCACGACCACCAGCGAACCCGATTCAATCGACAGCACCTGTGTAATCGGCACAGAGGAGCGGTTTTGCCAGAAGCACAGTTAACATCGGGTCGAGAGCTAGCTACACATGTGCGGCCAGCGGATCTACTGACGAACGTCAAAACCATGGAGCAGGAGGTAGCAGAAATGACGACCGCAATTGCCTCCGTGTGACGCAGAGCCCGCCGGTACCAAACCAGCCTGGTGGCAGCTATTTGGGCAGTGTTCGCTGGCTTTCATCCACCCGTGTTCGCTGGCTTTCATCCACCCGTGTTCGCAGGCGTCCACTCGTGTTCGCAGGCTTCCACCCGTATTCGCAGGCGTCCACCCGTGTTCGCAGGCGTCCACCCGTATTCGTGGGCTTCCAGCTGTGTTCGCAGGCTTCCACCCGTGTTCGCAGGCCTCCACCCGTGTTCGCCCGGGCTCTCGATCCCGACGAATCAGATCATTCAGACGTTTCAAGAGTTTTGAATCGCGCAGTAATGAAGCAACCTCCCACTGGTATCATTGAGTAACAAACAGGCGTGGCTTACCCCAAGCCACCGGGTGGGCGGGCTCGCATTGCGAGATCGACAGCCTCGTCAGCTGAGGCTCCCACAGACCAACGGAGAATGTATCCATTTCGCGCCATACTCTTCAACATCTAGCGACTCTGTTACAAGTTTGGAGCCGCTCGCGTCCGTTGGATTCGAGTACGAAGCACAAAGGCAAAATTTCGGTCGTGTTTTTCGTGACTAAAACACTTGCTGCTTTGATTTGAAGACTGCTTTAGGAACGGCAAGCCGAACAGTCATGTATCACACTGGTTTACGGAGCCACCTGGATAAAAGGCTGTTGGTCACCGTTTGAAGCAGGAACAGCACTCCGTTATTTACATTAGGTGCTCATGCCAAATGAGCCCATCATTCTAAGTATCCGTGCCGTTTAACGAAATGAAGCTCTGACCACTAATAAGACTGTTGATATTGATAGGGATAGCAAATTAATCCATCCTTTGCTCATACGCGCCACGCAAGAAACCGATGCTGTTGAAATTGTCCTTTCTTGTACCGCGGCAAACGTCGCCCGAGCGCTGGACTCGTCCATCACGCTGACCGGAAGGCGGCTCCCACCGTCTGAAACCGGCCCGGTTTTCACCGTGGAGCGGTCATTCGGCCACAGACGAGCTTGAGGCCGTAATGGAGCCGTCAGCGTACCACGCCGCTCACCGCGCGGCGCCGCGTCCGCCATTGTCGCCACCAATTCATCGCTCGCCGGCGCAGTGTGAAAGGCTGTCGAAGCGCCGCATGCCGCAGCCGAGGTGCGAGTACGGCGCAGCGCACGGCGCGCTCCGCTCGGACGCCGTGGGACCGCCGCGCCATTAATCGCCGCGCGGTGGCGCGGCGCGTTGCGACAGTGGCAGCGACCCAGACTAGCCGCCGCCAGCAGACAGCCGCGCGCTCGCTTGCGCCATCATAATGGTAGACTCAATACACGCCGCGCGATGAGCTGGACGGGGTCAAGGTGAACGCCGTCCCGCCGTGACCTCGGCCGGTCAGGCCGGGCGAAGGGGTCACTGCCGACTGATTGGGTTAAGTGCGGTGTCCAGTTGAAGAGAGGGCGTCACGTGTGCTGTATTGACGCTGAACAGTGCTCCGCATCACTTGGCGGCGTTGGACAGTTACGAGGAATTAATCATCAACTTGTCGGCCAGCTGATATGCCAAGGCTGGTTCAGCGAAAAGGTTCAGCGCAGTGGCCACGTTCAAAGGGAATTGACGTTTGGCACGCCCCGTCACGAGGGATACTGTGAAACAGTGCCGGATCAACAAACCAAGCACTTCGGGCACGAGCGTCCAATGTAACCAGCTCTGGCAGATGGCATTGCAGCTCTGATCAATACGTTTGCAGCCGCACGTGACGGTTCGACCAGCAATCAAACAAACGAACACGGCCGGGTGTGTAACCAGACCCCACAAATCAGACCGGGGCGGCCAGTCGTCCAGCAGAACCCGCGTGCTGTCAACATGGGGATCAGCTCGACCGCCAGGTGTCCATACGGCCACTGCGGGCTGCCTGATCGCTGTCGGACCGCCGTACCTGGAGCAGTAGGTGGTACTTGAGTATCCTCTGGACGGGCTTCAGCAGGTAGGAGCCGAGCGGCAGGGCGTGGCCCAGAGCTGCCTGTCGCTCCCGGAACAGCCGCGCCGTGGTCTCCCGTCTCATCAGCTCTGTCAGCACTGACACCGTCCTGAAACAGAGCGCCGGGTCAGCGCCGATGCAGACCAGATCAGCCGTGACGTCATCTTGAAACAGAGCGCCGGGTCACCGCGATGCAGACCAGATCAGCCGTGACGTCATCTTGAAACAGAGCGCCGGGTCACCACCGATACAGGCCAGATCAGCCAGGATGCCATCTTGAAACAGGGCTCAGTGAAAGAGATGGACACACAGAACAGCGCAGTTCCAAAACTTGAGTCGCTGCCGTCGTCACCAGAGAGTAAAACCAGTTCTTAGATCCGTCAGCGGTCAGAAAAAACATAATGTTCGAAATGTAGCACATCTCGTGAAGCAGCTGAAGCCGGCAAAAACGGCGCGGAGATAACGACAGTGGATAAAATGTGTCCCGGGCTATGGGCCGATCAGCGGAGCATGTGCTGCGGGCCTATCGCGTCATCTCCCAAACACGTGTGCCTTCAGTAGAAGCCAGGGCTGAATGTTACTGTTGAGCCGCCGCCGCCGCCGTCGCTTCTGTAATGCTGCATCAACGCTCACGACGGCTCAAGCAAGGCTGCTTCGTAAGTTTGCGAGAGCACGATGGTCATCCCTCCCTCAAGGCAGGAGGAGAAGCGCTATTTTCTTTTATCGGGATTGGAATGTGCTACTTGAGTGGAAGATACATGAGCCAAAATCAGAAGAATTTTGTGATTGTGGTGTGTGGTCCTGTAATCTTACTCTGTCCATTGACCGCTTCAGGAGACTGAAGGGGGTGGTGCAATAGTAGTGACCTCCCACAACGCGACTAAGAGGTGTAAACGTGTGTGTTTTTCGGAAAAATGAGCATTTTGTCATCAAAATGTGGAGTGCGTCCGATTCGCTATCATTTCTGTTTTTAGTTCATAAGAATTCAATCTACTCTATAAAACGAAAATAATTAAAACGAAAACTAAGTGACCAGAGTTCGGTTAGTTTTTTGGTGTGAGTGGAGGCTAGCCAGTGAATCGAACATTTGTTTTGGGTGAGGAAGCTAACCAGTGAATGGAGCATTTGTTTTGAGGTGAGTGGAGGCTAACCAATGTATCGAGCATTTGTTTTGGGGTGAGTGGAGGCTAACCAGTGAATCGAGCATTTGTTTTGGGGGAAGTGGAGGCTAACCAATGCATCGAGCATTTGTTTTGGGGTGAGTGGAGGCTAACCAGTGAATCAAGCATTTGTTTTGAGGTGAGTGGTGGCTAACCAGTGAATCGAGCATTTGTTTTGGGGTGAGTGGAGGCTAACCAATGAATCGAGCATTTGTTTTCGCCTACGCCTGGCGGCCGAATCGACTGTTGGGTTGGCCCCCACCCAAAAGTTTTCAAGAATCGACACCCGCTGAGGGAGTGTCAGCGCTTGGTTTAAAGCACCGCCCAGAGCGCACGCCGCGCATGTCACGTCCTGAACTTTAGCTCCTTGGTCAATCCAAACTACCGCGCTATCTAAACGGCACCCATCAATAGCTCATCAATAATAATCGACCCGTCGCTGGCAATTAAACCGAGGTCACGCCGAGAAAGTGCTCACAACCTCACCCGGGCGGGGCTGGGTCGGCACGTGACCTAGTCAAATGAACCAACTGGCGGGCAGATCGTGAAGTGGGCGAATGGTCGACTGACTTCTCAGCCCCCAAAATACACGCCTCAAACGAACCCTGGGACCAGCAGGCTTCATGTCACATTCCAAGACAGAACTTCCCTCTCGAATACGCGTCAGCTGGCGACGGTAGTCCTCAGAAACCCACCGAGCGAGCTCTCCCGAGCTCAGCACCTGCCGAGAGCAGAACAGTGCGCCCATTCAGGGCAGGCACGTGACCGGGCCTGAGCCACGCGTCCCTCACCGCAGACGGCCGGCAGCGCCCACCCGCCTTTGTGCAGCACGGCGCAGCCGACACATCGGGCTTGCACCCCTGAACGTCTCTCGACAGACTCGGTGGGCCGTCGCTCGGCCGCGGAGAAACCTGGCCGGCTGGCGGCGCGAGACGGCTCGCTCGGCGACGGCGGGGCGCGGGTGCGCTCGTCATCGTCGCGAGGCTCATGATGGCTGATGATCGTCGGCCAGGCCGGCTGCGCCACGAGGCGCCTTCGTGGGCCACCGGCCCGCCCAGCTGGAACGGCTGATTCCGTGCGCGTGCACGGCCGACCCGGCGCCGCCATGTGTGCAACGCCGGGCGCCGTCGACCTTGGCTGGCGGCACCGTTCGTCACCCTCACGCCATCTGCCGGCCGGTCTGGCAGCGGCCGGCGCCGGCGCCGGCGCCGCCGTACCTCGGCTGACCGAGTGACACCCGTCGACGTCCGGTCACCGATAAACAGAGAGCGCGTGGCGGCGGTGGACGCGTCAGCGCCGGGCCCGGCGCCCGACGGCGCGACGTGAGCCGACATTTCCGGGCTGGGCTGACTCACCGGGCGCCGCCGACCGGGCGGGGGCGGCCGCTCGCTCGGCTGTGGCAACGTGCCAGCCTGCCGCAGCACCTGGCGACGCTCCTCGCGCGCGGCGACCGTCGCCGAGCGAGGCGTGTCCCGAAGCGGGGCCCAAACAGCAAAAACGAGCCAATTCTAAATCTGAAGTGCTCCAGATCGCAAATCACGCGTAATGCGGAGTGACTTGTGCCGGTGTACTGACAGCATGGCGGCCCGTCCAATCGCCGCCCCAGTTCCCCAGGTTCATAATCAAACAAACGCCCTCAATGCGCGCACCGGCTCAACCCTGGCGGCGGGTGGCGGAAACACCGACCGGCCTCCCACGGCGGCGGCTCCGTCACAATTTTCCGTCTCTCGCGGCGCGGACAGTAGCAATTGCCGGGCGCCCGGCCACCAGACGGTAAAACCGCCGTGAGCAAGTGGCGCGGCTGCGGCGGCGGCGCGGTCGCTATCAATTTCCACGCGGGCCGGCGGTGGAGCCGGCGAGGAGGCCGCCGCCGGCGCCGGTCTGGGGGCGATGCGTCGCGACCGGCGGCGCCCGGCTCGGCAGTCGCGGGCCACTTTCCAGCGCCGCGCCCCGTCGACCGTAACCAGGCCCTGGAAACCGGCTGCCAGCGGCCGGGGGCTGCCACGGCGACGCCGATACAGAACGTGAGCGTCACTGAAGCGCTCGATACCCCGTCGACGACGACGAAGGGGACGATAAAGCTTTAAGTGTTCAGGCAAAGTTAGAGCGTTTTTTTCCGGCAACATGGAGTGCGATCTCTCACCCATACCCGGAGGAGATCACTGCAGTGAGTTCAAACTATGAAAGCAGTGAGACACCTCGCGACTCTAGCTGCATGAGGCAGATGACTTCGAACATGTCCCTGCTGATCGCCGGATAAATTCATAAACATACCGACGATAGGGTAACGGTCTGATGCATATCGCCTCAAGACGAGCAGCAGCAAGGCCACTGACCAGCCATAAACCAAACCTTGCACTGAGCAAACGCCCCACACGACGTCGGCTCAGCCTTGGGCAGGGCAGGATCGTGGGCGGACGGCTGCCATATTAGCCTTTGACAGCCGCGGTGCGCCGCGGTCCCACTGTCCGAAGGCAGCGCTGAGCGACCCCGCCACGTTCACGGCTGCTCTTCCATCTCTACCATGGCCTGGCCCGGCCCGGCACGGTTGCTTCGCCAGCACGAGCAGCGCAAAAACGCCCGCGCACCGGACGCATAAACACGTCAAAGTGCCGATCACGTGTGCTCGGCCCGCCGCCGGGGCGCCGGCCCCCACCAAACAGGAAATGCGACGGTCATAGCCAGCCCACACACGCCCCGGCCACCTATTGCGTGGGTTTTCGACTCGATCGCGATGCGGCTTATCAGAATACGAGCGTTGGGTGACCAGCGAGAGAGTTCGAGAATCACTCGACGTCTTAACTGGCATGATTGAGCGGATCGCGACCTTTGGAGGTGATCAACAAAGGAGCGATGATCAATGCACATTTGGATTATTCATTGCGTTTTTCCTTTTTTGCCGCGGTGCTCGGCGCCCCGCGGCGGTACTCGCCTCGTCAGGGCACCAATCGTCGACCAGCACGCGAAAAAAGGGTGAGTCGGCTGATTTCGGGTGCCCACAAAAACAAAATTCGTCCCATTCTCCACTACCACCTTAGGAAGGCCAGCCAGTGCAGCCTCGAACTCATTCGTTCAGGATACCTAGCCCAGCTTGAGCTGATCGCGAACCCACTCCATAATTGGGTATTAACAGGAGTGACACATGAAATCGGCCGCTGGGAGTCTGGCGCAGCTGCCAATTGCTGTCGGACACGGCGGCGGCGGTGAGTCGTCATCCGCCCGAACCTGTCAGGTCGACGGACCGCAGCGTTACGGGACCCGGCCGTCAGGCTGTCAGGTCTGCATCAGCGGCCGACAGTGACCGCCAGTGACCGTCAGCGGCCGACAGTGACCGTCAGTGACCGTCAGTGACCGTCAGTGGCCGTCAGTGGCCGACAGTGGCCGACAGTGACCGTCAGTGGCCGACAGTGGCCGACAGTGGCCGGCAGTGGCCGACAGTGGCCGCCGCCACATAAGCACCAGCCGGCCTATGGGGGGGGGGGGGGGGTCTGGAGGGAAGGGCCTCTGAAGGGGCGGGCCTCTGGAGGGTCTCTGGAAAGGCCGGCCATGGAGGGCCTCTGGAGGGCTCGTTCGCAGCTGCGCCCCTACCCAGCCGCGTCCCTCTCCTGGCGCTGGCACGCACCTCAGAACGGTGCGACTCGCTTGCAGTGCGTTCGGCTCGTCATAGTCCGCGCGGATGTGTAAATTTGGGTGTAAGATCAGGCTCGTGCCAGATCCCAATGTGACCTCATGTGATATGCGTGTGAACTTGCTGCAGAAGACACTCCGTCCCATCGGCCACCCAATCTGAGAACCCCCTTTAGTGCGATTGTTTACCGTAGCCCCTGGTCATGCCATCTTTTGGCCCCAGGTTTCGGGCGCACGTGTAGTTTTGTGCAGCATAATTTTCCTGACACACCGATTCCTGACACGATGTTCGATTACTCCCAACAGGTAATTCGCTATCTAGCCTGGTTAACGAAACTAGCTGGTGAATCAGCGCATGCCTTTGACGCAACACCCCTGCGGGAAGACTGTGGGCACGGCTTCTGCGCCGTCTTACCTGGGGTACTTGGTGCAGTGGTCGATGTAGACCGCAAAGGGGCACGGCTTCTGTGCCGTCTTACCTGGGGTACTTGGTGCAGTAGTCGATGTAGACCGCAAAGCGACCGCCGTGGCTGACGAAGCTCTGAGCGACTTTGGACGGGTCCAGCTCGCACAGCTCCAAGGCCGATAGGAACACGCTGCCAGACAAACACATCAATTCATTTAGCCGTCTGACGGTTCCATACAGAACGTGTCCGCCTCGCTCAGGGGCAATGCGACAAGCCACGTCGAAAACAGGCGGCACAGGCACCAAACAATCGACTGAACAATAGACCGGCATTGTTGACTAGCAGGTCCGAACCACCGAGATGCAGGGCTTCCACGTTTCGCCAATATACCGCTTGTGCGCGGGTGCGGCGAGAAGTGAATGCCCACAAACAGGGAAGATGGATCGGAGCGCGGTGGCGCGTCGACACGTCCTGGCCGGAAGCTGCGGCTCAGGCCCCGCCGCTCGCGGTGGCGCGCCCACGCGCAAACACCGCCGGCACGGCAACTGCACCCTCCACGCGTGCGCATTCGCCCTCACGCCCTTTCACAGACGCACTCCATTCTATCGGCACATGCAGCGGACAGGACGGCCCCCTGTCTGCATGCTGTTGCGAGCGCATCACACCGGGTCAGCGCACGGTCGCACCTCGCCGCCCCGCACCAGGTCAGCGCACGGCCGTGCCTCGCCGCCCCGCACCAGGTCAGCGCACGGCCGTGCCTCGCCGCCCCGCACCAGCTCAGCGCACGGCCGTGCCTCGCCGCCCCGCGCCAGGTCAGCGCATGGTCGTGCCTCGCCGCCCCGCGCCAGGTCAGCGCACGACCGTGCCTGACCGCCTCGCACAGGAGCGTCCGCCCTGCCACGTCCATCATCACTCGGCCGCGCCCCGGGCCTAGTTCCACACGGTAATAGCCGAGCGTAACTGGACCGCTCGTCAGGCACGGCGCGCCGAGGGCTGACTCGTCCAGCCGACGCGCCCAGCTGATGCGGCCGCTGCCCGACCCGCGCTCTAATCGATGGCAGCTCACCATGAACATGGTCATTTGGACATGGGCAGGGAACGGCAAGGCCGCGCGGCCTGAGAGACCGTGCAACCTCGACCGTCGCCCGAACGTGCCCTCGGAGCCGCGCTCGCCGGCATTGGGGCCTGCGTCGCGGCGCGATGCTTCGCTGGCGCTCATGGCCACTCACTTCGGCCAAACGGTATTTGATGGCGCTGTACCGCTGGCAGCCGGCGGCTTTGACTTTGGTCTCCCGGCTACGGCTCTGCGCTTACATCGACAGCCAGCCTCGTGAACAGACATGCCGCCGGATGGAGGAGCGGGAGGTCACATTCGCCGCTCATGACAATAATGATGATTGTAGCGGTTGATGGGGCATGTCTGCAGCCACCGAGACAGCTCATACATCTGCTGCAATCTCAGTCACACAGTTTTTTGCACTCAAATTAGTTGATAGGTTCCAGTGAAATGCTTGAAAAGCTAAGCCAGGAAGATAAATGGCTGGTACTTGTCGCTGAATTAATCAGAGCTGCACAGCGAGTGGAGCCGAATCGAGTCCAGAACTCAGCCGTGGATCCACATCCAATCGCAGCGCGCCCGACTCGGCACACCTCCGTGGACTGTGCGCTGGAGAGGGCGGCCTGTTACAGCGCGCGACTCGCGTGTCTTCGGAGCGGGCCGCCGAGGCGCCGACAAAAAGGTGCCCCCGGCGGAGCGGCTGGCCCAGTTGAGCAGCCGTCGGGGACGCGCGGAGCCCGAGTGCCTCCACCGGAGCGGCGAATCACCGGGCTCTGACGCCCGTCGGCTAATGAGGCTACCAGTCGGGCGGCTCCAAACTAGACGCCGGTCGTGACTCCAGTCGTGACTGCAGTCGTGACTCAACGCGAGTTGTAGTCCAGAGGTGCCGCCAATGGCACGGCGCGGTGTTGCTCATCACAGACACGGAAACACTCGCCGGCTATCTACTGATGACCGCTCTCGGCAGGGACAGGCCACTCCAGCGGTAGGCACCGAATGCAAAGCTCCCGCTCCCACCGTGACACGTCTATCAGCGGGAGCCTTCGTCGAGAGCCCGTCTGTGTAGAAGATCACTGGCGTCGACGCGATCTGTTCAGTGCCAGCGAGGATATTCCGACATAGATGATTCCTACGAACGAGACTTGGCCAAGAGAGGCCGCAAAAGAGCAATCTAAGTGGACCACATACGCCCGACGCTTCCACAGATATGGCAAGTGGGATTGAGTCCAATGAATTATTCAATGGCTGGACGGTACTTTTGACACCAGCACCTGCAACGCGAAAGAGGCGCAAGGGCCGAGCGTAGCGTGCTCCGACATGCGTGCAGTGACCTACATCAGCCTCAATATGCATGGAAATTTATGCGCATTTTGACGATCGTGGTGATTCCGCCTGATGAGGATATCACCTTAGTAATCGCCACATCCTTGGTCCCGCATTTTTATCCCGTGGTGGTTAGAACCCCGGGCACACCGGATCTTCTTAAGAATTAGACGAGCCACAGCGGGTTATTTTCCGCAATGGTTGCAATACTAGCACGGCAAGGTGCCGGTATTGGAACAGATGATATGCAGATACAACATGCACCAGCTGTTGGCGGGAGGATGTCGTAACTGGCAGCAAAAGGATACAGACGTCCAGTGACGTCAATGCCAGCAAACGTCATGGATGAATGTCAATTGTGCCTTGACTAAAACCAGCAACCATGATATTCCAAAGTCATCGGATGACGTTTCATTGCCATTAGCTAAGAGTCTGGCTTTCATGTCTCATGTGAAGGAATGTCTCATGTGTCGCAAATACCAACAGTGGCTCATTGTGTCGAGGGACGATACCAACAGCGGCTTATTGGGTCAAGGGCGATACCATATCCATACAGGTACATCCCAGGCAACCAATAAACCGGCACGCTATCATTAATCACCAGCCCCAGAGCGTCAGTGTATGCCAAAATGGTGTTCCGTATACACTAGAATACGGCGCAAATTGCGTGCACGGTTCGTCCCCCCCCCCCCCCCTATCCCCTACACAGAAGAGCCAACACACTTCAGACACGACGAGGGGATTACTTTCACACTAGCCGTGACGCCAAACGCCCGAGGTGAACGGCGAGCACTTGCCCGGAAAGAGCACCTGCCGGTTACTGCACCGGCATAAATTACCCAACGTGACAGCGCCAAGGTGGCTGCCCACCACTGATAGCACGAGATCACACGCGATAAATCCAACTGCGGCCACTCCTAGACACGCCCGATCCCACGCATTCACACCGCAACCACCACACATCACATGCTGGCGAGTCGTCGGGCGGTGGCGGCCCGACCGGTACCCGCCAGCGCCAACCGGTCCGAGGCGAGGCGCGTCAGCTGTTCTCGTGGCTCCGGGCACTGAGCCAGCAGCGCCGGGGCCGCCCGCGCCGGGCGCCGCTCCGTGCAGTGGCAGGGCAGCAGTCGGCTCCGCCCGCCACGCTTGCATTATGCATGCCGGAGCGGGCCGGTGATCGGACGGGCCAGCCAGGACAGCCGGCGGCCGGTCGCTCGGCGGGCCGCCTCCCTTTCAACGGGATGGTGGCAGCTGGACGGCGGGTCACAACCCGACGTGCTCTCGCTGCCGGTGGCACCACCGGAGGCCGCACAACAGTCGGCGATCCGCGCCGAACAGAAGACCGCGAGCGGCAATTGGCGGCGCCGGCGCCCGCGGCGTTCGCCGCTGACGACCGGTTGAGAAGCCAATGAGACACCTCTGGCCTGCCAGCGTCCGCAACCTCAGCTGCGAGCGAACAGCGGCATTGGCGGTGCGCCTCACCTGTTGCACCGGAAGATCTCCTGCACGTTGCTGAAGAGCGCGTCCGTATGCTCGTCGACGATGGCCGGCTCCGGGTTCTCGCGCCAGTAGAACAGGTATCCCTGCGGCGGAGGAGGCGGCGGTCAAGCGGCTGCCCGGAGCGCGCTGCTGGCGGCAGCTGATCGCGTATGCGTCGGCGGCGCCGCCGCCTGCCGCAGCGCACCATGTACGGAGCCGGATCTCGGCTGCCTCCCGGTGAGAGTGACCAGCGCTTTCAGGCGGCGGGTGGCGCAGGCCCCGGCGCGCGGACAGGGGCGAAGACAGCCGACCAGCGGCCGCCGGCGAGGAGCCGAGCAACGGCCGTGAGGTCTGCTGGCTGTGGGGCGGTGGTAAGTCGAACACTGGGTAAAAAGCTGCGCCGGGGCTCCTCGCACGACGCGCCGACGGGAAAAAAGCGTCCGTGCTCGTGCGGTGGAATATAACGCGTCTGCTTCTGTGCGACGGACGATGACGCGTCTGCGCCCGTGCGACGGTGGATGAAGAGTCTGCGCCTGTGTGACGGGGGATGAAGCGCCTATGTGACGGAAGATGAAGTGGCCGCGAAGGGAAGCTCGTCGGTCGAGCGCCCGTTCATTACGGAGGAGGCTGGGTGGGGATGACAGTTAATGTTTTCTTTCCGTCTTTCCTTCCTTCTGTCTTTGTCGGGCTCCCCATTTCGCCTTACGAGCACGGCTGGATAGTCACAGCTGATGACTTAAATAGACAGCAGCCCTTTAAGGCTTGGCGTGATGCAACCCGCCGTCAGGACATTCATAAATGGCTAGCTTTTGCGGAATACAAGCCTTACGAGTTTTCCCAACACCAGTTGCACGATCTACTCGCCAGCGAGCGACATAAACCAGACACATGCAAAAGTGAGGAGCGGTCCGTGTCTGGCGCCGCATGGTTTCTTGTAAAAGGGAGGATCTGTGGTCGCGATTACCCGGCTCGAGCCACGGAAAGAAGGCCCAGAAAGGCCCATGCCTGGCCTACGGGAGCGATTGTGGGTTGCGGGGGCGGCAGATGCTTCCTGTGGCGCATGCCACGAGCATGACTAACTGATCACATGACCACCGGCAAGCGTCTCGCAGTGAGCTGGGAAGCTGGCGACAGCTCCCAGCGGGGACACGGGTGATTAAAAAACCGGCATGCAAGTCCCCGTGGTGCCGGCGAGGGGGAGGGGGAAGACGAGGTGGGGGTGACACGGGCAGTACCGCGCGCGGCCCCCATGGGACGACAACAGGCGACCGGGGCCAGGCCGCGCGGTAGGGACGGCAGGGGACCCCGTGACCCGTGTGGTGGGGGCTGGAGACGCTGACGGCCTGGGGACTGGGGCGCCACCTCCCAGTCTTGGGCCGGGGCCCGAGGCCCTGGGACACGAGCTGGCGCCCCGGCCGAGTCGGTGCGGCGGCGCGGCAGGCGACCGCCGGCACCAAGCACGGGTAGAGAGCGTTCGCCGCCCAGACCGGTGCCGGCTCGCCTCTCCAGCGGCGTCCACCGGCCCCTCCTCTGCTGACAAGCAGGGCCGCTGTCCGGTCAACGGACCCCAGAGTGGGGTTGTCCTCGGGCCAGTGCCTCCCACATCCGAAACAACAGGCGGCGAAGAGGCCGTCTATTTTTCCAGGGTGGCCGAGTCCCCTGGAAAACAGGCTAGCGTCGCACCGTTCTGTTGACCCAAGGACTACCGAGCACTGCCACAACAAACAGGGTATTTTTGCGCTGCATTCTGGGTCACAGGCGCTCTCCGCCGACCGGAATCAGTGAGCGATCTCGTTACATGGTCGGCGCGAACAAATATGTAAAATGTTTGTAGAAAGCAGGCGCCGTTGTTATTCCGCGCGACCGACGCCGGCGTTAACGACCGGCGCCGTGGGGTCAGGCCGGCCGGACACTGCACCTGAGCCCGGGACAAACACATTTCTCAGCGGGGCGTAGCGGCGCGTCGCGGGTCGCCGTTTCCGTCTCAACCGCGCCGCCGAGGGCGACGCTAGCAGGCGCCCACGCGCGGCCAGGACCGGCGCGCCCGGCTCGGCACAGGCCGGGCCGCGCCGAGGCGGCGCTCGACACGCGCCTTCTGAGAATGGAGCGCAAACGCGGCACGCGCTACGCAAGAGGCAACGACCGCCTCCAAGCGCCGGCCTCAACCCACCCATCAGGCGCTAGGTGGCTAGGCCAGGCGAACGCTGAATCAATTGTGCCAGTTCAGCCACTGTTTATGCTGCGTTTGGAAGCCATTCCTCTTGATTCCTGACGCTGTCGAGGGCTCTTAGCGTCTGCAAGAAGCGGCACAAAAAGGCCGAGCTCTCCCGGGGGTGTCAGCTGCCGGGAGACCCAGGAAGTGGCAGTCGTTCCACTCATTGTCACACCAAGCGTCCGCCTTTAAGAGCCCATTTGTTCCCGTTTCTTAGCGATGTTTCTGTTTCTCGTCAGCCCTCTCGCTCCTCGCAGCCCGACGTGAGAACAGACGAAATCAATTAGGCCACGTCTGCTTTTTCCGCACTCACACAAGGGCCAGCGTGGCCCGAGAGCCCGTCCAGTTCTTGCCAGTCCCAAAGCGCTGCGTCTGCCCGACCACCGGCGCACAACACGCGCCTTCAGCACGCGTGCGATGACGGCACCGTTTCGCCGGGAGAAACGGCGCCGCCGCCGCCGCCCAGGCCCGTCCCCGTCCCGGCGCTGGAGACAAAGGACGTACCGTGACAGTCCAGCACGCGGCGCCGGCGCGGGCCGCCGGACAGGCCGCTCCCCTGCAGCGCGGTAGGACAGGGACAGCCCACGCATTCTCGGTTCGCGCGCGTTTGAGATCAAGGCCGGCCTTCGTCCGGCCGCGTCCGGCCGGCCGGCAGTCACAAAGAAAGGGAAAGCCGGCATCGACGACAGCTTTTAACGATGAGCCGGCGACGCGACGTGATGGACGCCTTTACGGTTTTAATTACTGCGCCGAGTGCCCGCCTTTCACCGGCCGGTATGGAGCCGGGTCGGCGGGGCCGTCGGCTGGCCGGAGGGGTGTGCTCTCGGCGCCGGTCAGAGCAGGCAGCCCACCCGCGCGCCGCCGCCCGCGCCCCCGCAGTCCGCAGAGCGGCCACCGGCGACGTCTGTCGGCGCCTGCGCGGTCGGGGGCCCGGCGCGCAGCCGCACCGGCCGGGCTCGCCGATGACGGCTTCACTCAGGACCGATGTGCGCTCATTGTTCGGTGCGTGGATGACTGACAGGCCTGGCATTGGCCCGTGGGTTTGATGGAAGGACGCCGGAGAGTGCATGAGGGGTTGCCACGGCATGAATAGCCATTCACGAGACAGAAAACCGTAGAGAATACTTGAACGCAAGGAAAGGTTTCATTATACTTCTCCCTGTTTCGAAGTAGAGCACATGGCGTATTACCGAACGAGTCAACAATTACCAATGGCGGTTGCAAGACAATAAGAATTCTGCTCGACCAATCCGATACACAAGGTATAATTTTCGTGATATTCCAGGGAACGAGTAGCCCTGTTTACATTAGAAAATACATGGTTGCCAGATTGGAAGTGTTAAAAGTGCGTTTGTGCTCTTTACTTTACAACCAGGCTATGCAGCTGACTGCAATAACCCTAACAGCTTGCACTATATTTCTATGTATAAATAATATGATAGCTGGGAACGAAATCGTGCCAAGCTACCATATTTCATAGCGTAGCCTAGCCGTCCCGGGATGAACAACCTCGCTGCCATATGACCATTTTTATTGACCCTGATCTTTGAAAGCTCTTCGCTGATTGGTAAAATTTAGTTTCTGCTGCCAGGAGGGTGCTGGAAGCTGCGTGTGTACGATGATTAAGCCGCAAAAACACCAGGTTTAAGGTGACGCCGGCTTTTACCTTGCTGCTGTTGGTATTGTTGTGGTGTGTCGTGGTATTGCTTAAGTTGTAGCTGAGAATATAAAATCGGCATGGATTTCCCAGAAAGCAGGTAAAGTTTTTACTAAAGGTACTTCAATGTGATAATAAAAGGCTGCACAGCTTGACTCGAGGGCGCGACGTTGACAGCAACGCGGATGCACAAAAATTAGAAACCCTTCAGCTGGCTAGCTTTGGTGCCCATCTGGCAACTTTTTCGATTCCCTTTGTAAACCAGGCTAGTGTTGCTGTTGTTGTTGACCAAGCCTTCGATCTCAGCGTCAAATTATTTCGCCAGTCTGGGCACAGACCCCAGAATACTGTAGCTAGTAAGACGCAATCATTCCCTGGCTTGATCTGGCTGACTTTCTTCCAGAATTCAGCCAGGTGTCGTGCTATTCGGACAGCTCGGCTGAGAGACACACTTGTGCAATTTTAAGCAGCTCGGGCACGGGACAGGCGACGTACTTCGGGCAGGAGTAAGAAACACATCTGTTGACCTCGGGCAAATCACGGGACCACAGCTGGACGAACGATAGATAGTCTTAGGCAGCTTGAGGAGGTCAGTTACGAGGATAGTCCGGACAGACCACACCGCATGCCGAGTGGAGCACGCGCTCCGGCTGGCCGCCGCCCGATGAGGCCACCGGCTGGCTGGAGTGGACCACATTCTGTCGATGAGGCCACCGGCAGGCTGGAGTGGACCACATTCTGTCGATGAGGCCACCGGCAGGCTGGAGTGGACCACATTCTGTCGATGAGGCCACCGGCAGGCTGGAGTGGACCACATTCTGTCGATGAGGCCACTGGCAGGCTGGAGTGGACCACATTCTGTCGATGAGGCCACTGGCAGGCTGGAGTGGACCACATTCTGTCGGGCTGGGCTTGCGGGACGCACGCGCCGGGCCACAATGGTTCATTAGCGGCAGCGGGGTGAGCGGCCGGACCCGCCAGGGGCAGCCGCAGAGCCCAGGCAATCGGTCGCAGCGGTGGCCACACAAAAAAGGCAGCCCGCGGCAGTGTGCGACCACATCACATCGCCAGATCCTACCGAGTGGGGTGGGGGTGAATGACCCCTCAGGCGTGAGGCGACCCATCCCGGCGATCAAGACGAGGGCGCATCGACTCTTCGGACAGTCAAGGTAGGGGTTTGTTATTTCGAAGATCAACGTATGGGTACCGGAGTCTTGCATGACATACGGATCCAAAAATATGAAGGGTTTTCTGTTAAAAAAGCAGGTGCTCTCGTCTCTCCAAGTGCACACGAAGAGCTGGTGGGATCAGAGTCAGTGGAATCACCACAATATCCCTAGCGATGTGGCGGTACTTGCAGCTTTTTTAGACCGCTTGTTTCGCCATCACTTCCCGCTCTCGAATGCGAGTAACGCAATTGAATGGTCGCCGAATCCACATGGGTTCGCTACCCTCCGCTGGGCCGGCGCACCGGCTGGAGTCCAGCCGACCTGCTGGCAGCAGGCCCGGCAGCCAGCGCGCCCACCAGGAGGCTTGCCACCCGCCGGTCACCCCAGGTCACGTGAGACGAGGTCACGCTGCGACGCCTGTAGTCAGTCTGGTCTGAATGAAGACGCTGCTACGCAGCTGCGAACCGCAGGCCCGGCGCGGGGCTTTTGTCGCGGTCTGGATCGCAAGACCGCCGGACCACAGCGGCCGGGAGCAGGTCTGACAGGTGCGGACCTTACGGCCCGCCGAAACCACAGAGGTCAGGCGGTCTAATGTCGCGGTCTGCGTCTTATAACAGGAGCCGCCCACGGACGGGGTCAGCCGGGGCCGCTACCCGTCCTTTGACCGCATGGCCGGCACTGTCCAGGCGGTTAGCTCTGAAGATCGCGCCAATGAAGAACCGACTCGCGACCAGCTCACGTTGAATCGAATGCATCGGCTCCTGATTCCATGATCGAGCCGGCTCCGTCATCTGCCGTCTCAGCCAGGCTGGCTCCGGCTCCCACATCTTGATCCCACCGGCTCCTGCCCGTCCCACACTGATCTGACCGGTCCCCGCTTCCTCCGCCTCGACCGTATAGACTGCAGCGCTGGCTCCACTATCTGCGCTTCGGTCGGGCCAGCTCCGGCTCCGGCTCCTCCCATCCTGATCCCACCGGCTCCTGCCTGTGCCGCACTGATCTGGCCGGTACCGCTTCTTCCGCCTCGACCGTATAGACTGCAGCGCTGGCTCCACTATCTGCGCTTCGGTCGGGCCAGCTCCGGCTCCGGCTCCTCCCATCCTGATCTCACCGGCTCCTGCCTGTGCCGCACTGATCTGACGGGTCCCCGCTTCCTCTGCCTCGACCGTACAGACTGCAGCGCTGGCTCCACTATCTTCGCTTCGGTCGGGCCAGCTCCAGCTCCGGCTCCGGCTCCGGCTTCGGCTCCGGCCCCGGCCGTCTCTACGGAGCCGGCGCCGACTATTTCCGCCTCGGCCCGGCGCTGTGCTTCAACGCCGGCGAGAATGACTTGTTTATGGTCCGGAAACGGACAGTTTGCAACGCGGATACACACGGCCAGCCGCTGAGAGGAAGGTACACGAACGTTCAGCGGGGTTTCCTCACCCCGTGGCTGAGATTCACATATCAAGCATGGCTCCAGGCCCACTTCATGTATGCCTACCTTGTAAAACTTCATTTACAACCGGCCGTCTCAGGGAGTCAACGGCTTGGTTTGCGGCCCGATATTACCGTGCACCATTACCAGTTTACTGTAAAGAGCTACATTACAACTTTGTTGCGTGTGCCAGAATATGGATGTCAGTTTTTCTTCTTTAAGCGGTGACCTTTTTGGCTTTGGACGCCTTTCAGCTACTAGAATTTTAAGTTGATTGGACCAAAACGGTGCGAGTAAGAGCACAACTGAACAAGATCAACTGAAATGAATACTAATTGATCTCTGCGAATCCATAGCAGCGAGGCGTATCGTTAATCAGTCGGTGCCGCGGAAGAGCCATGGGTCTATCCATCTTCCCGTATCCCCAGATCGGACGTCAAGGCCGGCCTGGACACACAGCAAGGCTTTTTTGGTTTCAAGGGCGGTTTTTATCGACAACCAGACCAAGTATCGCTGACGCAGCAGGCTGGCGTCGTCCGTAGCAGACCCCCCCAGTCCCACGACGCCCGCCGCCACCCGGAGATCCGACCAAGCCCGTCCAAAGATCGCGGGCGGAGCCAGCATGTGACCAATCAGAGCAGTTAGCGAGCGTCGGAGGTGACCCCGGCGGTCGTGATGGGGACCAGATGGTCGCCACCCGGCCGGCCGCCGATAACGGCGGGTACTGGACGCCAGAGACAGCCCTTCCGTCGTGGCCTCCCGCATTCCCGTCATGGCGAGCACTGCTCGGCCGGCAACAGGCGGCAGGCCCAGTCGGCAGGAAAGTCGTCCGCTCGTGGCGTCGCCGACGAGCAATCAGGCGCACGGGCGAGTGCAGTTTGCTCAGTCTGAGTCAACTTGATAGGTACATTGGAACGCAAACTGCCGATTGCTGCAGGAAATGGCAGAGATGAAACACTGGTCAAACGTCGGGGCACGTCGGACGGCGGCTGCTCGGTTCCAGTCATCACTCCGGCGATGACGAGCGGCGAGCGACGCGCGAAACCCGGCCAACACACGCTGCTTTCTTGCACAACTTTTGGGACTCCGGTCTGGGTTTTTGTCTGGGATCGCCTGGAGATCGGACAGCGCGCCGCCGTCCTGCCGACTGGCCCGAGGCCTGTGTCCTCTCACTCCTTCCGTCTCACCTCGATGATCTGGCGCAGGTCGTTGACTGTGTCCTCTCACTCCTCCCGTCTCACCTCGATGATCTGGCGCAGGTCGTTGACTGTGTCCTCTCACTCCTCCCGTCTTACCTCGATGATCTGGCGCAGGTCGTTGACGTAGATGGCCTCGGTCTCGATGACCTCGGTCACAACGCGGTCGATGTAGGTGAGGCTGGGGTCGCAGAGGCGCGGTCGCAGGGCCCCTGGGGAGGTCGGCGACGCCATGAAGGTCAGCGGCGACGAAAGGCCGCTGTCGCCCGAGCCTGCCGGCCACAGCACAGATGTCAGTAACGGAACCCCGATCGTCAGCTGCCATTCATGTGTTTTCAGTAAAAACCCGCTCGAAGACGGTGTCAGGTGTCACAAGCTCAGTCACACTTCTTGTTATGTGTAGCGCCACAATTGAAATCACGTCGAAACACCTGACTTTTCAACTTAACAAACACCACCACGTTCACCATCTCGCAGGCGACCAAGACACAAATATAATCACGAGTGGTTATTATGGTACCAATCCGAAACAGGCGTGACCATCGACGCGACCCCTCACCACGCATCCAGAACAATAAACACGGCCACCAGGCGCCACGCGTGGTGCATACAAACGACGGCACTCAACGGAGCGAGCATAGCCTGCGCACTGACAGTGTACAGCGCAAGATTTAGTGCAGCATTATGCGGATGACTCGCGCTGCCACCCAAGATGAGAGTAGGGATTTAAACCAGGTAGGCGGAGCTGAAAATGCGTGGCTAGTCATGCTCTCGATGATTACCCATCAAATGTCCGCGGGCCACGAGTGATCGCCTTAGTTCAGGGTGTGCTAACTGACTTGTTACAGCGAGGTCGCGGGTTCAAGACCTACCAGACCGCGTCTCAGTTTCGCCACCGCTATCAGCATGATAAACTACAACGCTAATGACCACAGCAGTTACATTCATCGTAAACTTATCTAATTACACAGTCTCTGACTTTCGACAGTCAGCACGGCGGTGCAGCGGAGGGCCAGCACACGTCAGGGTCCGGGGGACGGCGGTATGGCGGAGGGCCGGCACACGTCAGGGTCCGGGGGACGGCGGTGCAGCGGAGGGCTGGCACACGTCAGGGTCCGGGGGACGGCGGTGCAGCGGAGGGCCCCCACCTCGTCAGGGTCCGGGGGACGGCGGTGCAGCGGAGGGCCGGCACACGTCAGGGTCCGGGGACGGCGGTGCAGCGGAGGGCTGGCACACGTCAGGGTCCGGGGGACGGCGGTGCAGCGGAGGGCCAGCACACGTCAGGGTCCGGGGACGGCGGTGCAGCGGAGGGCCAGCACACGTCAGGGTCCGGGGGACGGCGGTATGGCGGAGGGCCGGCACACGTCAGGGTCCGGGGACGGCGGTATGGCGGAGGGCCCCCACCTCGTCAGGGTTCAGGGGATGACGTGCGAGCTGGTCACCTTCCCAACAAGGCCTGCTCCCGACCGGTCGGCCCAGTGGAGAGTTGGCTGACCGAAGAGAGGCCGCGCGCCGCTAAGGAGCCTCCCGTGTAACGGCTGCGATCACAGGCGAACGGCTAATAGCTAGTAATTTAAAGCGCCGCTGTGCCGGTCGGAACACGGGTTCCCGCACGTCGCCGTCGTACCGTTTTGTGGAAAACCCGTACCGCGTAGCGGCTCTGGACGGCCAGATAGCGATATAAGACGAGTGCGGCGCGTCCCATCAGTGCTATCAGATCAGATGCTTGGAATATGTTACGGGACGGCGCCGCGGAGCCTCGCCATGTTCGCATATGGCCGGCCTGTCTGGGCTGGAGCCCACCCAGTCCGCGCCGAACCGGCGCTCGGGCGCGTGGTGGAGGCAGGAGAAAACAGACAGAAACAAAGTGCATGGCCAGTAAAATTTGACAGAAGAGACCATGCTCCGGATATAATGACGTCACTGCACCAGCTCAACACTAGAGACGATACTCCGGATTTAATAACGCCAGTGCACCAGCTCAACACTACAGACCATACTCCGGATTTAATAACGTCGGTGCGCCAGCTCAACACTAGAGACCATACTCCGGATTTAATAACGTCGGTGCACCAGCTCAACACTAGAGACGATACTCCGGATTTAATAACGTCGGTGCGCCAGCCCAACACTAGAGACCATACTTCGGATATAATAACGCCAGTGCACCAGCTCAACACTAGAAGACCATGCCCCGGATTAAATAACGTCAGTGCACCAGCTCAACACTAGAGACCATACTCCGGATTTAATAACGTCAGTGCACCAGCTCAACACTGGAAGGCCATGTCCCGGATTTAATAACGTCAGTGCACCAGCTCAACACTAGAGACCATACTCCGGATTTAATAACGTCAGTGCACCAGCCCAACACTAGAACACCTATCGCTACAGAGCACGACATAACCTGGCGAAATGTCAGCATGATGCCCGTGCAGCTCAGCGGCAGCTGGCCAGCCGTGGCTTGTCATCCCAGAGTCCAGCTGCTTTCGACCGGCTCGACCCAGCACCTGCCGGCGCCGGCGTTGACGCTCGGCCGGCCTGTTCGGTAGCGGTGGAGCAGGAGGAGGGGGGTGGGGGGGGGGAGGGGGAGGGCAAGCGGCGGCGGCAGGTGCCGGTCCGGCCGGCGGCTCCCGTTATCGTGACGTGCCCGCCGGCGGTCGGCTGGGCCCGCCGACACCTGAGCCGAGCCGTGCGGCCGGCAGTGGGGCCCGTCACGCTCGGCGGACTGGGGTCACCTCGCGACGGGGCTCGGTCGCAAACACGGACCGCCGGGCGACGGGCCTCAGTCATGACCGAGGACCGCTCCATAGCCGGGCCCAGTAATAATCACGGACCACCTCACAACATAGTTCAGCCACAGCCACGGACTACTTCACAACATAGCTCAGCCATAGCCCACCTATAAACAGAGCTCAGCCACAGCCTGGGACTACCTCATAGCAAAGCTCAGCCGCAGCCACGAACACCCGCTTCCATCCGAGGTGGTCCCAGGCGAGAGTCCATTTAACGCACGCCGTTCCACCCTGGTCGCCGGCTGAGGCGCGCCTTCCGCGGCCACCTCGAGTCAGCAAGGTTGGGTCACGCGTCCGACACACGGCGCCCCCCAGCGACGCAACGGCAGGTGTGCGAGGCGGCCGCCGCCAAATTAGCAGCACTCGGGCGTCGGCGCCGGCAGCCGGCCGCGCACGCCGGCTCCATCTGTCACGCCGCCGCCGTGGCCGGCCGCATTCTGCGCGTAGCTGCGGGCCGCCCCGCCCGGATCATCTGTCGCGACTGCCTGACTCAAACAGGCGCATCAGCACGCAACGCGGCCCGGTCACGCAACGCACGCGCAACGCACGCCACGGCCACACGTGGGACGCTCCTCGGCCGGCTAGGACTGCGCACAACTGCACGGGAGCTGCGGTTCGTTCGCGGGCGAGGATGGCGTGCGCTCCTGAGAAACTGACATCTGCAATGTTGTGTATGTTCTACGTAGTCCTGTTACTCGCCTTCTGATGCAAAGGTTTGGCTCACGTGCAACCAAATGGTACGGCCTACATGATGTAACCACTAGTGGCGTTTATGGCATCGAATCTACGCCGCTGGCAGTCACTGAGTCTGTGAATAGCGGACAAGTAGGAGCGCGTTTGATACTGCAATAACAAACCTGGGGCATCCTGTCCGAGTCACCGTCAAGCGGCGCCTTCCGTTCACTTTTCGCTCGACACACTTACTTCTACAATGCCGGGCGGTGACGGAGCAATGCACGGAGTGCGTGCGGAGCGTTCGTCGCATGACAGCGGGTGTCCCAGTAGGAACCTGGAGAAAGTGCAAGGTTCGGCACAGAGGACGTGGCCGCGTCCCGTCCAGATGGCGAGGGTTGACACTGCGGGGTTCCGAACCTCTCGATACCGCCCCAATGTTGGCGAGGGTTGACGCTGCAGGGTTCCGAGCCCCTCGATATCACCCCAATGTTGGCGAGGGTTGACGCTGCGGGGCTCCGAATCTCTCGCGGATACCGCCCCAATGTTGGCGAGGGTTGACGCTGCAGGGTTCCGAGCCCCTCGATATCACCCCAATGTTGGCGAGGGTTGACGCCGCAGGGTTCCGAACCTCTCGTGGATACCGTCCCAGTGTTGGACTCAGAACATTATGAAAACTAAATTTGCCCCACAATCAATCTCTTTGGCCGCGGTTTCCTTTTGCGCTCTGAGAGGAGCGGGGATATCTGTAAATTTCGAGGCATCGAGTCAGCTTTAAACGCTCTCACTGATGAAGCCGCGTGATTAGAGGAAAGAGCCCGAACACCGTGCCAGCAGCTTCCACGGACAGGCCCGCTAAGGCTTTGTCCCGGTCTGCGTCGCGGGATTAAGATCTCAGCATCCATTTAACGTTTCACTCGGGGCGGCAGCCATTTCACTTGTGCCCTCGGTTGGAGAATTTATCGCAGGGGACACCAGGAGCCGGCTGTCGCTTCTGAACGCTGTCTCCACTTAATCGTACGCGACAAGCCCTACTTGGTAATTGTCGACAATGTCGTGATTAATGGTGCGCTCATGTTGGCCGCTTTCGTTTGGTCGGGTCGCACAAGGTGTCCCAGCGAGAAGGACCATACTCGGCGACAGAGGATCGGGTGTCCCCTCTCTCGGCAGCAGCAGTAGCGGCATCCTCAGCCCGGGCTAGCGGCAGCACACCGGCCTCCTCAACAGAAACGCTCCAGCGTCTCGCCGACATCCCAGCCAGCGCGCCGAGCTCCCCCGATGCGGCTCGCTATGCAGCACAGCCGCCGATTACGCCGGAAGACCCGGCCGACCAGCTGACGGGCGGCAACTGTGCTTGGTTGGCGTGCGTTGTAACGAGGCGCACGTCCAGGGTAATGAGGCGTGCGCGCTGCATCGGGCCGCCCTCGGGCGCCCCAGAACGCAGCGAAAGCGGCCGGGCCCGGCGGCGCGCACGACCGACCCTCGCGCGACGCGCCGCGTTTGTCAGGTCACGCGCCCGCCTGACGGATGACGCGCGACAGCGGCCGCGAGACGGCGGCTTCGCGCGACGACCGGCGCGCGGCGCAGCGCCACCTAGCCGCGTCGCCGCTGAACAAATAAACCCGTCGGAGCGGCCGCCGGACGCCGCACGCCGGGCAGGGGTGCGGCACGCGGCCGGAGCGGGCGGCTCCTGACTCCGGGCGCTGACGACAGCAGCGGACCAGGGGGGTACTGCCGCCGGGCCGTCCCACCGGCCGGCTGCTTTGTTACCCAGCGGCGCCGGCTGGTGCAGGCGTCGGCTGCCCCCCGGATGCCGCGGCCAAACAGCGCCTGCACACGGGACAGTATCGACCTGCGGGTGGCAGGCAGCCGGCGATCGCGGCCGCGCTCGGCGCCGGCCCGAGCCCGGTGACCTCTCTCGGCACGACCCCGCGTCGGAACAAGCTTCCCGTCGGAGGCAGCCACGTGCGGCCGGCGCTCGCGTGCGCCGCTGTCGGCTGTCGGCGGAGCGCCGTGCCCGCGTCGTCGCGTCGCTCCCCGCCGTCATGCGCGGCCAACGGCCGAGCCGCGCTGCACCCCAGGGGAGTCGGTCCACCCGCCCGTTGGCGTCCACGTCCGGGGAGTTTATGGCAGGACCCCTGGGACGGCGGGGCGGCGGGTGCAGGGGCGCGTGAAGAAAGCACCGCGGCAGCGTGACGCATGCGACGTGACCGGATGGGTCGCACCGCCCGGCTGGCAAACCTGACGCCGGCCGCCGGTATTGCATTGCCACTTGGCTATGCAGGTTTGCGGTTCCGGGATACAATGAGCGCAACGGCTGGCTTAAAGTCGGTGGCAGATTTATTCAGACACACGCTGGTCGGATCCGGTGTTGTGGGCACGCATGTGGTTCCGGACGAAAGAGGCGTTAATACTTGATTGGCCCGGAGGCACCAAACGTCACGGTACGTAGCGCGCCCCTGCAGTGAGTCGGAGGCGAACCAAACAGTGTGAACACGGGGGAACACTGACACGATCACCACACCGCAATATCCTCCCACCCCACCAGTCTCCACAGCGGAGAAACTGGGGCGCAAGAAAGGGCCAGCCAGATCAGTCAGACCTAACAGCTCTTTCACACATGGTAGCCGTTGGCGCATTTCATGCTCGCACGCCGTGAGCATGCACTGTGCACGGGGTGAAGTGCCCATGAGCGGCGGCCAGCGGTGGGGCGGTGACCCAAATGGGAGCCGGGCGGGAGCGCTCTGCCGAGACTGTCCCCGTTAGCGGGGCGGCTCAGTCAGCGCCCGTGAGAACAGTCTCATGAACCGACAAAGCAGGCCGCTCTCCACACCGAGTGAGGGCGGCGGCGGAAGCGAGCGTGGGCGCTCGCGGTGCGTGACAGAGTGGGCTGGTGCACCCGGAGACACCGGCTGCCGGACCCGAGGGCCCTCCCCGCTAACGACGCGCGGACCCGGGGACACCGGCTGCCGGACCCGAGGTCCCCGTTAACGACGCGCGAACCCAGAGACACCGGCTGCTGGACCCGAGGTCCCCGTTAACGACGCGCGAACCCGGAGACACCGGCTGCTGGACCCGAGGTCCCCGCTAACGACGCGCGAACCCGGAGACACTGGCTGCTGGACCCAAGGTCCCCGTTAACGACGCGCGAACCCAGAGACACCGGCTGCTGGACCCGAGGTCCCCGCTAACGACGCGCGGACCCGGAGACGCCGCACGCTGAGAGGTGTTGCTGCCACTGACGGTTGCAAGAGAACGTGTAAACCCTGCCTTCCACGGTGTGGCTGGCGGTCCGGCACCTCTGCCTCAGGAAGCTCTGTCTGGGACCACGTCAGAAAGTGGAGAAGCCAGACGCCCCCGCCCCGTTCACTCGTGGCGCCATTTGGGGCGGGTGAAAACGCGTGTTACTCGTGGCGAAGCATGTCCCTCACTAAGCTGGCCTGACTTCATCTGTCAACCTCACTGAACCACGACCTGGTGTGCTGCCGTCCCCGGGCCGAGACCGGTCCGTGCCTCAGGGTCCTGCCGTCCCCAGCTGGCCGCCCCGCCGTCCCCAGCCACTGACCTGAGCTGGCCGACTTGCGGAGGCCGCCGGTCTCCTGTCGCGCCGGCTCGTCGCCCTGCAGGCGCCAGGCGCGGCCGCGCGGCAGCGAGCTGCAGGCGGACGAGGACGAGGACGAGGTGGAGCTGACCGAGAGCGGGCGCGGCTCGGCCGAGCGGCGCTTGGTGTAGCGGCCAGCGCGCGGGTCACGCTTGCGCTCTGGAGCCGGCGCCGGCTCGTCGCGCTCCTCGACGATCTGCAGCGACCGCAGGGGCGCCGGCGTGCGCTCCGGCGAGTCGGGCGGCGAGCGCTCGGCCTGGTCCGAGTCGGAGCCGGCCTCGCGCGCCACCGCGCTGCGACTGCGCTCCAGCAGGCTGTCGAACATCTCCACTACGCTGGCCAGGTCAGTCGTGGAGCCTGCGGCAGGACGGGTCGGTTCAGCGTGGGGAAACGTGCACGTGATACACTCATAATGACAGGCAACCACGCTCTCGCTGACGAATAACAATGGATTAGACAGACAGCGCGCAAAACGCCTCAACCCGCATTTCCGACTTGCGCAAAGTATTCCACCCCCATCTGTGAGTTATGCAATCTCTCTTGGAGAGGGTGTCTGTAGCCGCCTCGACACTACACACCAGCGAGGCAGCACAGCGCCGAACAACAAATGCAACCAATAACAGAGAGTGGGCCGATGTAGCGCGCGTGTCTCGTGAAGAGTCAAGACCGCCGCCAATGTCTGCAAGCGGACCACGGAGAAATGCGGAGACCATAATGGGAAAACGACGCCGTAAGGTTCACACGGGTTCAGCGATGCTAACTGAAAAACGGCCACCGGCACCCGGTCGTGACAGAACGCAACCAGCGCGACATGTCTGGGTCTGCATGTCTGAACTCTGCATTGCTGGGGAGTTTGACATCGATCGGTTTCTCCTTGTTCCCAACGCGTCGCTCGTCACTCTCACCGGCGGGCGAGACTGATAACGGACTCGCCGGTCATCGCACGGCTCCAGCGCCCGGGTGCGAGAGATCCGGCGGGCGGCGCCCGCGATACGCGAGCGGCGCCGCGCACATGCACTCGCATTCCATCGGGCCGCCCGCACAGCGAACAAACTCCCCTGGGTCAGCATGGCACGCCGACGGCGCGCATGTTGACTCCAGTCGGGTTTCACCTCGGTTTTACAGCGCCGCGCGGTGCCCTGCGCTTGTTTGATTCGCCAATGACGCTTCATTTGCTGCGGCGATCGCGAGCGCCGGTATCTGTAATTGCTTTGATAGGGCTATCTGATACGCGATTGGGAACAACACACGCACCGAACGTCGTCGGTTCACTGACCCCGGCCCAGGGCATGTCGGTCTGCACCGCCGCCGAATCGCGGCTTTGTGCCTGGTGTGTGTGGGCGCGTGTGTTGTCACGGTGCGCAGCTGCACGTGAGACGGGTCGCCGCCGCTGCGGCGCGCGACGTCCCCTCCGTGACGACACCAGGCAGCTTAGCCCCGAGCCGGCTGTCGGCCGTCTCTGCGCTCGTTAGACGACCCACGTCGCTGTACACCACCCGGCGGCACGCCGACAGGGCGCGGGGGGCGCCGGCGGTACAGGTGTGGCGGGGAGGGACACCGGCGCCCGTCCCGTACCGTCGGCCTCGCCAGCCGCCGCGCCATTATTACCGCGGGCGCTGCATTCCAGTCGACTTCCGGGGACCTTGTAGAGGAGGCGGCTCGCACGACAGCCGCGTGCGGCGGCCGTGTGACACTGGCTGCTGCCGTGCGTCACCCCGGGTCAGCACAGGTCAGGGGCGCAGCCACACGGGTCGTATGTCACCGTGCGGGGTCCTGTTCTGATGCCACCAGCGCCCCGTGCAGTCAGTTTGTGGTCGGCTGGTTAGTTGCCTGCCTGCCGAGCCTCGACGCCACCCCTCGGGCGTGACTATCACCCGCAGCCGGGCGGGACAGGCCGCCGCGCTGTGCCAGCCCAGCCGAACCCGACCGAACCACAACAGCACGTGTCGCACGGACCAGATCGGAGTCCGCTGCATGCCCACTGCCCATTCACCTGAGGAAAACTGACCAGCTGGCGGCCCGAGACGCGCCGCACCGGCCAGGCTGGTGCCGGCTCGGCTGCAGGGTCCGCGGCGGACCGCTGAGGACCTCCCGCAGGACTCCGCGGCGGACCGCTGAGGACCTCCCGCCGGACACCGCACCATACAGGCACCGAGCGAGCCCCACGCCAGGCTGAAGCCGAGAGGCCAACGGTTCGCGAGCGGAGGCATCTCGACAGCCACCTCCAGATGATCAGCGGATCTCTACAGGTCGACTTAAGCGGCTTCAAGCGCGATCCATCGCACGCCCAGGCCGCTGCAGGCAACGGTCCACTCCGCACAGTCACGGCAATTGTCCGCCTTTTTAGCCGCCCCGAAGCGGACGGGGTGACAAATCCGCACTGTTCCGCTCATCGCGTGTGCCGCGCAAAAACAGCTGTGACGCGCTCGTTAGGATGCGTCGGCCGGTGTCACCTTTGTTCAGCGGTTAATCTCGGTAATGGAGCGAGCATGATGGACCCGCGGTGTGACGCCGGAAAAACAGCCCGCGCGCGGGCCGGCCCACTGCTAACCCAGCTGGACGGCCGCGCTGGACGGGCGCCGTCGCCGTGACGGTGACAGGCGCACACTGCGACCGGCTCGCCGTCCGTGACGAATGCAGATAATCCCAGCAGACGACAGCACCGACTGCCGCCGCAGCATTAGCCTCCAAATGAGCTCAAGGGTGGGGAAAAAGCGCGGGCGGAAATTAATTAGTGACCGGTCCGGAGTGAATAACACAGAACGGACATGTACTCGTCATTACTTATGTGTGTCACCGTATTGGACCGACGGATGACAGGCGACTTGCCCAATTAGCTGTCTGCAGTCATTATTGGCTCTGTAGGCACCGTCCTATGAAGTTCACGAATGCTACCGTCAGCGACCAAACCTAGTTACGCCCACTTCAGCTCCCGGTGCACCATGCGCTTACCTGGCGCGAGGTTTTTCTCTCGGACAACGGCAAGTTCCACCCAGCAAACACGCGATTTGGCACCAAAACCCACACGTTGAGCACGCTATACAGAGAGCACCATCGGCCCGACCAAGGTCGTAGAGCGGTCCGCAATGCCGGATGTCAGCGCCGGCTCCGCTGCCCGGCCATGGACCGTACACAGCGTGTGACTCACGACCGCGCAGGTCCGCGCCGTGCCGCTCCTTCCGCCCGGCGTGCCACGGCGGTTCCAGCTCACTCACGCCTTGGTGGGGCGCAGTGTATCCGTTTTGGTCGCGCCGTCGACCGGTCACCGGCCACTGTCTCGCTGACCGGTCCCCGCACATTGTCTCGCTGGCCGGTCTCCGGTCACTGTCTCGCTGGCCGGTCACCGATCACTGTCTCGCTGACCGGTCACTGGTTGCTGACCTACTTATCAGCCACCGGTTACTTCCCCACTCACTGGTCACCGGTCGCTGACCCACTCACCGGTCACCGGTCACTCTCGCTGACCGGTCACCAGTCACTGACCCACTCACCGGTCACCGGTCACTCTCGCTGACCGGTCACCGGTCACTGACCCACTCACCGGTCACCGGTCACTCTTGCTGACCGGTCACCAGTCACTGACCCACTCACCGGTCACCGGTCACTGTCTCGCTGAGAGCATCATGGCGCCAGAGAGTAGCACAGCTCGGGTGTATATTTATGAGGCTGATCATCCGAGAGGGTGACCGTACGACCCGCTCCCATTCACATCGCCTAGGACACTGACCACATGATCTCTGGAGCGCCCGGGACAGAGATGGATCACTCAGGAAGTCCAGATCTGCATGCCAGGTGTGAGCGGGCTTGTGCGCTGGACTCGGTGCCCACCACCAGGCGTCATCACCGGGCTGCAGTGACGCCGACAATTTGTGGTCTCCTCACCCCACACAATAGCCTACTGACCGGCCTCGCTAGCCGACGCGTCGCTAAAATAACAATCAGCATTGCGTATCAGTGGCGCGTCGGGCCGACGAGTAAACACTATTCATCACGGGTCGCCGACGGACAGTCCTGCGAGGCGCCGCTCGCCTCTGTTTGTCTCCGACGGCCCCGGCCATCTGAATAGGAACAGGCCCGCGCCGGCACCCACTCGGCCGAAATCGCCTCATGCCCTGTCAAAAACACACAAACACGGCGCGCCGCACGTGACTTCGGAGTGACTGACGTCGGTACCCCGTCAGCGCCGGCCATGCCGCCGCTGACGTCATCGGCGCTGGTCGGCCTTGGCTCGCGCCGCGGGCGCCCGAGCCGACGGCTCCTGCTGGGACGGTCAGCCTAACAGGATCGTGCTCCGCGGCTCATCGGCAGAGCGCGCCCACCGCTGACAGTGCGGAGTATACGGCGCGGCACGAACCGGGGCGAGCACGGCCAGCTGGGCCAGATGCCAACGGATGGACTGACCGTGCCCTGCCGACAGACTGGCTTCGACCGGCGCCTCTGAGCCGTCCTCTGGCGGAAAAGAGCTCGCTGTGTGCCGGGGTGGAGCTCGCTCCGCCTCCGTCTCTCAGCTATGCCGTGTTCCACGCCACCTGAGCCCGCTGAGTTTGGCGTGTGATGCCGCTGCCGTCAGACCGGATCGCCCCGGCCAGACGACGACACAGGTGTGTCGTTCGGCGCGCCCCCAGCCGGCTAAAGCCATGCAGCAGGCAGCAGCAGCACGTCGCCTCGCGGCGATGTGGTGCCCCCCCCCCCCCCCCCCAGCCCGGCCCGGCCGGAGACGGGGGCGAGTCCTGCAGCGCGCTGCGCCAGACGACCGGCGGCAGCACTCCCTACTGCCGGGATCGCTGGAGCGGCTCGCCCCGGCCCTGTCCCTGTCCCGGCCACCAGACGGCAGCGGGAGGGATCGCTGGAGCGGCTCGCCCCGGCCCTGTCCCTGTCCCGGCCACCAGACGGCAGCGGAAGGGATCGCTGGAGCGGCCCGCCTCGACCCTGTCCCTGTCCCGGCCACCAGACGGCAGCGGGAGGGATCGCTGGAGCGGCCCGCCTCGACCCTGTCCCTGTCCCGGCCACCAGACGGCAGCGGGAGGGATCGCTGGAGCGGCCCGCCTCGGCCCTGTCCCTGTCCCGGCCATGGCCACCAGACGGCAGCGGGAGGGATCGCTGGAGCGGCTCGCCTCGGACCCTGTCCCTGTCCCGGCCACCAGACGGCAGCGGGAGGGAACGCTGGAGCGGCTCGCCCCGGCCCTGTCCCTGTCCTGGCCACCAGACGGCAGCGGGAGGGATCGCTGGAGCGGCTCGCCCCGGCCCTGTCCCTGTCCCGGCCACCAGACCTCAGCGGGAGGGATCGCTGGAGCGGCTCGCCTCGGCCCTGTCCCTGTCCCGGCCACCAGACGGCAGCGGAAGGGATCGCTGGAGCG